CAAGTTTAAAAAGGTTCAATAAACTTCTGAAATTATCCTTACCTTTGACTGACTTGTCATTCAGGTATACGCAAATAGTCGGTGTTCAGACAAGATGTAGCAGAGGCGGTGCCGATTACGGTGATATTGACACCACTGATATTTGTTAACGGCTTGCTTGAAAGGTGCCCTATTATTTGCACCAGTCCTTTGAGTAGCATTATCCTGGAGGGCACCAGTACTAGGAAACACTTGTTAAATATGTACATAATTGGTGGTGATGAAATTAGACGAGTTGTTGCGAAGACCATTCTGGAAGTTGTAGTTGGATTCTGGATGTTCCTTCTTGTATCAGTTGTATTCAACACTGTGCTACGCATTTCAGTGCTTCAACTCTCCCTAACGAATGAGTAGCCGAGCCTTGAGCATTGAAAGGATTGGTTGTATGCAACTTTATATAACTCAACAGAACACGAGGTTAAATACAATGCCGTCGGCTAACGTTTCGGCGATTTTCGCCTTCTTCGGAGCCTGAAAAGGTGGAAATCAGCCTATGATCTATCCGACCTAATGTTTCACCTCCACAAGACCTTCGAAACCAATTAAGTCATCGCGTAATTAATAGTTATATGAAAACCACTCCTTCCAGATCAGCAGAGACAGCCCACTGGGACGACAATAGTAGCGTATATCAGATTGAACAGAGTTCACAGTTCAGACTTAAAGGCTAACCTTATTTATTGACATATGTACATTCTCTCCTCCGATTCATTTTTGGATGCCTGACCCGAATTCAAAACTCCTCCAGGGATTTGCGATTGTCTGGGCTTCGCGCGCCACGACTTTGACGATGACCTCAAAATCGTCTCCGTTATGAGATTCAAGCCTGTGGCACCTAAAGCAGAAGATGGACGCGACTTTGCCTTTCCCTCCAAATGCTCCCTAACATAAAGCAGTCCAGCCGTCTCCCGTATATATTCGTCTCCACAATTTTGACAAATTATCCTGTAGACCACACCTACGATGGCGTAGTCTCCATAAATGCCGTTTGTAGCCGTTGAGCTAAGCGAGGGCGTTTGCAACCGTTGAGCCCAGCGATTTTNTGTGCCATTTCCACTGACTTTTTTCTTTCTTTCTCTCCGATGGAGACATTTATCGCGGTTCGGAACATGTTTTTGATCATCGCGCGATTTGTCTGTCGAGTATGCGCTGACCGCCAGTGATAAATCATTTTTTTGTTACTGAGCTTTCTATGCCACTTTGTTACAAAGTTGCACCCCATAAGCTTGACCTGTACGCTAACCCATTAACGACCGCGTGGCCCGCCGAGGGGCTTCACCATATCGTGCTCCAGTGGTGATTACATCATTTATCAGGTGTTTTTATAATTCATTCCATGTTTTCAAGTATCACCTAAACTCAGCCTTCTAGAGAATCTTGAGGCTTTGTGGTCCAGGAATCATTCATTCCCAACTACAGTTTAAGAGACATGAAGTCAAGGTGAGGAGAATATAAAAGGCCCGGACCCCAATGGGTTAAAGGCACTGTTCACGAAAAAGTGGTTTCGGAGATTTGCACATGGTTTGAATTCGAAGCCCCCTCTGATACCATTTGTGAGGAATGAGGTCGGAAAACGGCTGGATAGAGCACATTAAGGGCAGGAACAGTGGGGGCTAGGCTGACTACGAGTTCTAATTGTCCTTAACCACATTCGCGTTGGAGCGAAGTTGGTGAAAAGTCGATAAGCTGGTTGGCAAATTGCCAGAGACGCAATGTGTTGTCTGCTATTGCAGACAACACACTGCGTCGCCTTCGTGCACTCGCCCGAACACTCCCTAACCGCCGTTCTTTCAATGTGAAACTCGTCCAACCCCCCTTTTCAGCTCTTTTTTTGACCCTTTGTAATTCTTTTTGTTCATCGTTTTTTGCGCTTTTTTCGTTGTTGTCGCTTTATTCCAGAGTAGTTCTATCAATTCCCGTCAAAAAAGGGTACCCTAACTTTTTTGTGAACGGTGCCTTTAAGAAAAGTAAGTCAGCTCCCGTACTACTTCTCACGGGTTAACTTGATAACCGCAGAGTGCCTATTGATGAGGTCGAAGCAGTTGTCCATCTCTTCTTGTGCCGAGCAAACTATGAAACAGTCATCGATGTAACGGCAGCACATCTTGGACAGACGTTCCAAAATGGGGTGTTTCTATTTTAGCCACAAAAGCAATGGCTAGGCAAGGCGCCAGGCATTGCCGCATGGCTAAACCTCTAACTAGGGAGGTCTTTCAGGGCGTGGGACTCCTTTTGAACTTCCCGCACTTTTCAACATGTGGGTCCCTTTTTTGGCTACCGTTCACGTTATTTTCATTACGCAACCCACTGGCGCCTTCTTCTGTGCGGACAGTCGACGCCATGAATGAAACAAACGACGCTCAGTGGGTTAAAACGGCAGTTTCTGACAAAATCATTTTCACTCGTTTTTTGGCAATCAGAAGGCCATTTAGCGGAAATGGACAATTGTTCTATACTCAGTGCTCATGCCCCTATGTCATGCAAAAACCATTTTCAAAAAGAGTGCCACGCCCTGAAAGACCTTCCTTGTAAGCTACGCGGCGTACCTTCCCGATCATTTGAAAACGTTGCAATTAAGCCACTCCTTGAGAAGCCCCATTACTCGTTTTATAGAAAACTTTCATGTTCGGAGCGTGACAGTGCTGAGTGTGAAGCTCTGGAACGGCTTCTATTGCAGATGCATTACTTACGTTGGTATACAGAGCTACCACGTCGAATGATTCCATAACAGAGAAGCTACTGGGGCGCGCTCTCTCGAGGTCACACAGAAACATCTGCGTTGGCAAGGTGCGATGGTATAAATTGAAGCAATTGGCCCAGATGTTAAGGAATCAAGCGATCCTGTCGGTGGGGCCCCTCACCCTGCTAATAATTGGTCTAACCTTGACAGACGAAGGACTGACTGCGGCCAAATCCTCCGTTGGTAGGAACTTATGAGTGTTGATCAGAAGGTAAAGTACGGGGCAGCTTGGTGACTCCAATTTGAGACGTTTAACTGTATATGAGTGGGCCCCGTCGATTTCGCTACCGTCACCCACTCTCGATTCAGCCTTCGGAACTGCGACTGAAACTCTTTCTCAGAGAATGGTCGGTAGAGGGAGTGATTTTCGTGGTGCCGTTCCGTTATTTCGCGTTAACCCGTGACAGGCCGTCCGGAAGCTGGCTTCCTATTATTAACGTGCAGGTCAAGCTTATGCGGTGCGACTTTGTCACAAAGTGGCATAGCAAACTCAGTAACAAAAATATAATTCCTCACTGGCCGCCAGCGCATACTCTGCAGACAAAACGCGCGGTGATCAGAATCATGTTCCGAACCTCGATAAGTGTCTCCACCGGATAGCATGCAAGAAGAGTCAGTGGAAATGGCACAGAAAATCGCTGAGCATAACGGCTACAAACGCCCTCGTTGAGCTCAACGGCTACAAACGGCAGTGATGAGACTGTGCCATCGCAGGTGAGGTCTACAGGATCATTTTCAAATTATGGAGACGAATATATAGGGGAGACGGCTAGACCGTTTTACGTTCGTGTTAGGGAGCATTCGGAGGGAAAAGCGAGGTCGCGGCCATCTACTGTTTCAGGTTGCCATGGGCTTCAATCTCGTACGATTCATATCCCATACGACGATTTGAGGTCATCATCGAAGTCGTGGCGCGCAAAACCCAGACAGCCGCACGCAAAACCGTGGAACGTTCTGGGTTGGGGTCAGACATCCAAAAACGAACTGAAGGGGAGAATGTGTATCTATAACGCAGGAACTGACCTTCTATATAAGGTTAGCCTTCTAGCTGGAACCGTGAACTCTGATCAATCTGACATACTCCATACTGTCGTCCCGGTGGGCTGACTCTGTTGATCTGGAAGGCATGGCTGTCATATAACTATCAACTACGTGATGCCCTGATTGGTTCCGAAGGTTCTGTGGTGGTGAGACATATGGTCGGATAAAATGTAGACTGGTTTCCATATTTTCGGCTCTAAGGAAGCCGACGGAATTGTATTTAACCTCGTTTTCTGTTGAATTAAATAAAGTTGTATTGGAACTATGCCGAGGTTTATCGAGAATTAAACATGGTGAGTATTGGTAATTATTGATGTCTTACTGCTCTTCTCTGAACTCTCAGCCAATAATTTACAACTTGTATTGGACTAACCTCTCGGCCAGCCGCCATCGCCAGAGCCAGAGAGCCGTCATGCTTGTGGTAGTGCACCATTCAGCTCTACCTCACCTTCGACCCGTAAGAACTAACAGGTCATCGAATAGGGCTCCATGAAGCTGACGGTTCTCCAATATCCACCTCCTCTATCTTGATCTCTTTCAAAGCCAGCAAACTCTAGTGGTTGATAAAGAGTGGAGCAGTGTCTTATGGTAGGGACGAATAACCAGCCACCTTTGGCTCTACAACTTGCCCGAAGACATGTAAAAAAAANAAAAAAAAGATAAAACCTATGAAGCAGCAGAAGCACTGATAGAACAGATATATGATTAACACATAGTTCTTCTTGAAAATAAAGTATCCACAGAAAGATGTGGCATTCTCTGCCGCACAATTTTCTGAATTCACAGACCTCAAAGTACCATTTTGGGGACAAACGAAGAAAATCGCAAACTCATAGAAAATCTAAAGCCCGGACCTAAAGGCAACAATTCGCCAAGCTCGGACAGCTACTGCGAACACCGCGTACTGAACGAATTCCTGCCGGTAAACTTTTGCAAAAATGACCTGCCGGTAAACTTTTGCAAAAATGACTCTATTAAAGGAGGCAGTGAGAACAGAACATATAAAATTCATAGTTAACAAGCTTGTTTAAAAAAAAGGAAAGACATATTCACATGAAGATTAATGATTTACAGGTGTAATAAACAAATCATTCAAAGGCAATCCTGAACAAGTGAATTGAGAAATTAATCACAGAACACAACATCGATGCAGAATTCCTTTCGAGTAAGGTGACTATAATTATGGGAAGTCATCTTTGAGCAGAAACATACTCGTCACTTCAGCTTGTTCCTCCCACACGTGCCTACATAACGGACACTTCTTGTGGTTCACTGGCGGATGACCTCCTAGTATATCGAAATCGGCATTATTCCTATGGTCTAAGGCTTCATACCAGCGAATCACACATCTGAAATGAGTCCAGCAATTGACACAATCAATTGAGAAACATTTTTAAAAAACTAAATTGACACATGGTTCACAGACTGTTTGTTAATTTGAAGATCCAACACAAACAGCTTGAAAGTGACATGGTGAATCTGGGTAAGTTTAATGCGCGTTTATAAGTAATTTAGACCTCTGTTAAGTTTGCACAAAGGTCTTACGGAAGAAATTATCACAAGTGTTTCAAAGGCAGTTTAAGATCCAGCGGCCACTGCAAAATTATAAATAAGGATTGAAACCTTCCCCTAGAAAAAGAAACCATGTGTAGACAGGAACCGATGCTGCTGAGCGCGTAACGATGAAAGCCCAATTCGCCTCAACCCTTTCTCCCATTCCAACCCCTCTCTATCCACAAGCTTACCTATTTCTTAGTTCATAAGTGTGTTACTGACACCGTATGAAGTCAACTTTCCTGATCGATGGACCCGAACCGACATTGTTGGGGACGTAGTGATGATAAATTATGTGGAGGAAGTTGGAAGAGCTTTTCCCTACACAATGTTATATCGGTACCCTCCTAATCAGTATTGTGCGAGGGGTATCATTCTCGAAAGAACCAAATATCATCTATGGAAGATTGCGAGGTCAAACAAGCAAGGTGTGGTAGTTCGGCTAGAGAAACATCTTAAGTATGCGCGCGACTGTCGAGTCGGGACGATCAGTCAATAAACCAGTTAGGAAAAGAGCTTTTCAAAAAAAGACTGCGAAAGAAGCGAAGTGTATCAGTGGTATGCATATATGAGGAAGCAAACCTTCTGCAGCCAATTGATTGTTGGCAGTACAGACAGCCGACTGGATCGTAAGGAACCTCCTCGAAACAGATAGTACAGCGTCCAAAAGCGTCGCTCCTGTGAATCGAAAAAGGTATTACAGAAAAATAACGTGTGTGAGCACAAGTATGTAATCGAGGACTTAAGTACATCACCATTTTCACAATGCATTTGTGATACAGCAAAAAATTATCTGACTAAAGGCTAGTAATTTCTCATCACCTGATGACGCTATCATCTGGTTCTTCTTCGTTGAACTCCTGTCCATGGCCTAAAATAAAACTATGTTCCAGAACATGTGGGGAACAAAAAAAAAAAGTAAAAACAAAATGAATGTTAAAAGCAGGACATTAGTTATGAACTAAAGCAGCCAAAAAAACGCACTATCTTCTTGATCTTCTTCTTCAACATCAATACCAGCTAAGGAGGCTAGAACAGCTAGTGGTCGAATCACTGAAAACTACCGAGATGATTGAGTTTTGCTCCCTCTTAACTGCACTATTTCATGTCAATGGTGGAGTTACATGCTTTCGAGTTCAACATTTCAGTAATCCACTAAAGTTCCAGTATAATATTTTCGACCAAAGCCATTTCTCAGGTGACGTAATATTAGTTGGAGTCCGACAAGTTTGGACACCAGAAGCTCTCTGTTTATAAAATCTTCGTTCACTTGGCGAATAATTATGTAACCTCAGCTACTCTCATCCTTGAGGTTCAGAACTTGAAACACAGGCATCATAAGGGATATGCAGACGAATGGCATCAGGTGGGCAGAAAGTATCTGCGAAAATTTCACAGTGGTCCAGATTTTCTCCGAAATTTAGAAATACTGTATATAAAAGAACACTACTCACATGTAGCGTATAACTCGGGAGATCTCGTGACCGGTGGACCAAAACGAGGTTGATCTTACAAACAGACCTTCAATTCAGACTGCGAAGCGTTGGAACAATGAGTACACAGAACCGCTTAGAAAGGTCCACAAGGCCAAATGCTTAACACAGGTTTCATTGAGTTTCAGCAGCGAAGTGGTTGGATTTGAACTCCGAAACAAGTGTCAGGCAGTTCTATCATAACGTGGTAAAATGAAAGTATGAGGCAAAAAGAGGTATAGGTAGGAAGGGATACGTTTAACGTACACTATGAGGGCCCTTACACCCTTAGTTATGTAGAAACTTCACAAAGGATCCCAGAAAAACTCGGGAGCAATCCGAACTTTTGTAGTTTTCTCGAATACTTTCCACGTTACCTAACGCAAAAATGTAGAACTAAGTATGCGTCATCAATGTGAAAACTACGGTTTCCTTGGAAATAATTGTATAGGCGACGAAGCTCGTTACGGGGAATCAATAGGCTGAAACGATAAACCATCCATGTAGTGGTTGAAGCTTGATGGAAGGGAAACCAACGTGATCGCATTCAGGAACACTTTTAATTAGTACAATTACTGACAAGAAATATAGTAGTGTTTCCGATAATGGTCCAAGAATTCTTAGAGCCATCATTACCGATGACTAGAAATCTCGCAAATCTCCCAAGGCTACTATTACCGGATTCCCTGGTTCCCATAATTCAACAAGAAATTTCTGGCCAGCTGTAGTACTACATTACATTAAATACATCAGACAGAATGTTTTACCTTGTCGGGAAAGATTTTCAAGGATGTCCATGGTGTCAAAAATATTTTCCGTGTAATCGCTATCAAGTGATTCTTCAGTAGGCTCTGATCTGTTAACGTCGACTTCACTTCCCTTAAACAAAGAATGCCGTAAACAAACAAACGAGGGCACAAAGAACTAGAATGAGAATAACAAAAATGCCAAGAGCTACATTCAATTTTGTCACTTATGCTCAAAAGGCTTATTTCTTTCCAAACCCTTACTTCTTGAACAAACCTCTTTACATTTACAGTACCGTTCA